CCCCTGTAGCGCCGCCCCTGGCTGCGGAAGGGCCTTTGCTCGTCGAGTTTTTACACAACATACCTCGCCGAGCTTTTACACAGCATACTTGAATGCGACATCGTGTCAATTTATACGGTGGTCGGTTGCTATGCATTTTGCTCCCGGAAGCGCGGGCTTCGTTTTTTCCAGCGGCGTTAGTGTGAATGGGAAATGGCGTCGTTTTACTTGATAATAATCGGAAGGGCCATGTATTTGGCTTAAAATTTCTTGCTGTTAGAACAAATTTGTCGGGTATATTTTAACAGATTTATAAACTTCAATATTTAAATGGAACGATTGAGATAAAGTTTATTTCTAGCTGTCAAATAACAATCGGAACTATTAACTGCCTTCAAATAGCTCTAGCCTGGCCGCGATATTTAATTCGCTCCTTTATAGTTTATCTTTCATATTGCGGAACGCAAACCAATGTACACACTGTTCGTCTTTTGGCCTAAATTCGCGTTTCTTCATCAGTATATACAGGTAATTTTAGGGAAATTGTCTGATGCTACTAATACAGTGTAACTATATATCTATCAGTTAAAGTAATAAACAGACAGAGAAACGTACATGCCGACTGTTTTGGTTGGCGACAACAAATCGATCTAGCTATAGTTCACGCAAGAATTTGTTTGATAAATATCAGAATATGTTCTATTAAACGTTTTCATTTTATATTTGTGTATAATGTAATTTTGAGATATATAAACACATACTTCCATTGTATCGATGACAAAATATATAGCAGAGTTTAGCTAGAGTGCAATCATACCTTGGTATATACTAAATTTATAACTGATTTATACTGTGCGAGATCCGTAACCACATAAAATAATAGTAACATATATACTAGTGATTTAAATTCCTTAAGATACGCAGCTTTTCTTGAAACAGATTTCATGTCTTTGCGCACTTTTTATTTGATCATTACACTGGCCTGTAGGCCAAGTGTCTTAAATCCCTCTTTTTCTGTTTTTTTTTCGACGAGAAATCGACTTTGCGTTAGGTCATCGCAGGCTCAGGGTGCAACGTGCTCCAGTGACATATTCAGTTCAGTTTCAAAATGGCGGCTTTTCACTGAGCGATCTAATATATATTTCACACAATTTCGTTGAATTTTCAAAGAATTGTGCCGGTTTCCTATGGATTTTACGTTGTGTCGCACTCTAGCCTTTCTTGTGTGTTGAATTAGTGTGTTTTTCTTTGTGTAACGACTCGAAAACCCCAAAATTTGGACCCAGCGAATTTATACAATATAGTGGAATATATTAAACAAGAACAAGTTAAAGGTTTGACAGTTTGACTTTTTAATTAACAAGTATAAATATACGTTGTAGGCTCATAAACATGCGTTGTGCTCTTGTATTCATTTGCATAATTATAGATTTGCACCTAATTACATTAATTTGCACCAACTGATTACTTTCCATTTCATCATATATTACTATAAAATGTATGTTTTCGATTGTATTCAGGCATTCAGCGAGGTGGCATTGCGTGCGGAGAAATGAAACGTGGTACTGTTCGATTTGGTTTTGGAATAAGATCCAACTTTCCCCCCACTTTTTAATTCTCAAATTGTTTATTAGATTTTTACTGGTTGGGGTTAGAGAAGGGCTTGGGATCAGTTTATCTTATGACTGGAAGCAAATTGGCATATTTCAGAATCGTCTATGTCTATGAACTCTTTAGCACCTGAAACGAGCCATATATTGGCATTAAAAATCAAGGACTATATAATTTCTTCGCTATTATTGGCCCATCATTATTTACGGTTGATAGTTGATGATCAGTTACAGTGGGCCTGGCTTGTCAGGTTGAGTTGCCCATAGTCGAAGGGTGCGCCTGAGCCGGCGTCTTGGTATATTATGGTTGATAGTTGCTGATCATGGATGTATTTATTGGTTGTATTTATATGGTCCAGACCTCCTGTATCCCTATCTACTTCTCTACTACACATTACACCCTACCACGAAAGTTGCCATTTTCAGGCCAGTGTTAACGCCTGAGCAGGCGTCTTGTTACATTTTAATTTGCGCCAAATTACTTTCTAATTCATCATATATTACTATAAAATGTATGTTCTCGATTGTATTCAGCGAGGTGGCGTTGCGTGCGGCGAAGTGAAATGTGATACGATTCGATTTGTTTTTGGAACACGATCCAACTCCCCCCTCCCACACTTTTTTAATTCTCAAATTGTTTATTAGATGTTTACAGCATGGTTGGGGTTAGAGAAGGGCTTTGGGTTGGGATCAGTTTATGAAGAATCGTCTATGTCTATGAACTTTTTAGCATCTGAAACTAGCCATATAACGGCATTAAAAATCAAGGACTATAATTTTTTCGCTATTATTGGCCCGTCATTATTTACGGTTGATAGTTGATGATCATAGTTACAGTGGGCCTGGCTTGGCAGGTTGAGTTGGCCGTAGCCGGAGGGTACGTCTGAGCCGGCGTCGTGAACGAACCAAGAACAGCAACAAGAACGCCAGTGTTAATTACTCCCGGGAGACCTAAATTTCATATTTGTAGAGACCAACTGGTGTATTTAATCAAGCATAACTTCTCTGCTGTGAGTATAGCAAATATGCTTGACATTTCCTTGAGTACGGTCAGGAGACGAATGCGCGAACAAGGACTTAGCTCCACTCAGCCATTTGCGTCTCTTAGTGATGAAGAATTGGATAGTATAGTAAGTGAAATAAAACTCAGTCATCCACAATGTGGTTATCGAATGATGATTGGGCATTTAAGATCTCGGGGGCTGAAAATTCAGCAGGATAGAGTGCGCACATCCTTGCGCAGGGTTGACCCAGAAGGCACAACTGTGCGATGGATGGCTGCTATTTACAGAAGAAAATACTCTGTCAAGGGACCAAATTCTCTGTGGCACATAGATGGCTACCACAAACTTATTAGGTAATATATATACTTATTAGGTAATAGTATCTGGTGGGGAGGGCGGGGGATTGCACCTACCCCAATACTGATCCAGTACCCTATAACTTTGAACCACAGAAATACCATTTCCTGCATTCTGAGCATCATATTTGTTCACAAAATTTGCTCCCAACGACCCCTGACTTTAGGCTAAATGCAACTTAATTTAATTATTCCTTGTGTGGTACATGCATGGTTTAAAATTTTAGTGGATAATATACATGTACTTCAAAACAATTAAAAATACAACAAACTAAATCTTTAAATTTAAAACTCTAATATTTTTGCTTTATCATGACAAAATAGCACAACGCCCCTGCGCCCCTCTGGCCAGGGCTAGGGGGTGCACAACCCCGCCCCAGTAAATCCGAGTATTTTATGAGTTTCTAATACAAGAAATGAGTAAAATGCTCGGCAGGATTATGATTTGCATGCATTTGGCGTTGTAATTGGCAAATTATTTAAAATGAAACAAGAACAAGTTGGATGCTAAATTAAGAACACTAATTAAGCTCCAGCACTCTCCCCTTGACAAGTAAAATCGTCTGGCGTTAGACAGAGTGAAATAATCTGGCGTTAAACAAAGTAAAATAATAAAATAGGGCAAATAAGGGCACATTGCAACACAAATGGATCTGATTAGATAAAAGTCGGATTTTTGTTTTGTCTAAACGAGAGAAAACCTGTTTAGATTAAGGCAATACGACTTTTTACCGTGTAATCTGCTCTCAGAATTTTTGTTCTCATGAAAATAAAATCATGCTATTGTCATATTATAAAAAGGGTTATTTAATCGGTTTAACAGTCTAGAATCAATGCAATTAAATAGCTTAATTAATTCTCCATCCTGGCAATGCATATGTGATAGCAGTAGTTTTATTTAAAGTAGTGTTGAATAACTTATTATTCCCTCCAATTTTAGGTGGAAAATGGTTATCCACGGAGGAATAGATGGGTTTTCAAGAGTACCAGTGTATTTATCTTGTTCCAATAATAACCGTGCTGATACAGTTTTCGAACTATTTGAAGAAGCTGTCAATTGCTGGGGGGCTTCCATCGAGAATTCGATCAGACAAAGGTGGAGAAAATGTCGAAGTTTCTATGTTTATGCTAACACACCCACATCGAGGACCAGGAAGAGGTAGCATGATTACAGGAAAGAGTGTTCATAATCAGCGAATCGAACGATTGTGGAGAGATATTTTTAATCAAGTAGTTTGCTTGTTCTATAACTTATTCTATCATTTGGAAAGCTGTGACGTGCTTGATCCTGACAATAATGCGCACATTTTTGCATTGCATTACGTCTTCATTCCACGTATAAACAAGTGTCTCACACAATTTGTACAGTCCTGGAATGCTCATGTTCTTTTGGGAACTG